ACTTTGCCGGGGATGCACTATCCTTATATTTATGCCAGGTCTACTCCAGTTTAAGAGTTTTCGCCCCAGACGTTATCCCTTTTGTCTTGATAGCCACGGTTTTCCCCTGTGAGGGTTTACTGACCTACAGTAAGTTCTGATTTCCCCAGTAGCTGTCCCCCAAGTTCCCCTATCATCTTTCATGACAAAGCTCAACTTAAAGTGTTTTACCCTTCCACCAAGCCAGGCTTTATCACCTGCCCTGCTGTCAGAGATGCCAAGGGCTCCACATCACAGATCCCTACACCCCATCAGTAGCATTGGCCCAGCTGATCAAGCCCTGCTCTTCAAACTTTGCTCTTTCACTTGGCTCCCAGCATACTGTGCTCCTTTGTCACGGCTGCTCCTTGGTTTCACTGGCCGGGTCTTCCTTATTGTCTTTACCTTCCCAACCTCTGACCTCTAAATGTTGGATTACTCCAGATCCTAATCCACAAGTCTCCCCCACCCCACTCCAGGACCACTCTCCAAAATTTTAATGTCTGTATCTTATTATAGCTCAACTTTTTCACTTAGCTAGCTGGGAGATGCCCCAAACCGACTGCTTGGGTTTCCCTCCTATACCCACTCCTTCTGTAGTCTTACTGCACTAAATAGAATCTCCACTGACTGAGCCACTCAGTCCCAACCCGGAATTTCCTGAATTCTTTTTCTTCACATTCTACAATGGGATCATCAGTAAATCCTGCCCGATTCCTTTGTAAACATGTCTGGATCCCAACTGCGACCTCCTCCGTCCATCCCAATGCCTCCTACCTGCTCTTTCTGCTTCCGTTCCTGTCTTCCCTCTGCCAAGCAAACAGAGTGACTCTTTGGATCTGAGGCCAGGTTCACAGAAGCTCTTGCATCTTTCCATTTGCTCCAGTATGTCAGGACCCATGCTCTGTCCTCGCCAGGAGGCTGGGCAGGAACGTCCCCAAAGAATGTCTGCTCCAGAGAGAATGAGATCAGAAAGTAAGAGACCAAAGGCTGGTCAGAGCTCTGAGACTTTGCCTCCTGTGAAAGCCTGCTGATCCCCCCCCCCCCCCCCCGCACCACCACCACCACTATCGTGCCTGCTACTCTCCATTCCGTTCTCAGGCCTTGGGGCTTCTTGGATGTTTTATTCCAAGGAAGAGTGCTAAGTTTACCTCACCCAAAGATCTTTGTGTCACTCAAGACAAGTTGTAGGGACCATCCTCTTGTTGCATCAACATCTCAGCTTGAAAGTTCCTTCATTTAGGAGACTTATTTGACCCAGTCGTCTAACATAAGGGTAGCATCAACCCCATCACTCCTGGGTTTGCTTAACCCCCCGCCACTGTAACACACAGCCTGACTGCACAGAAGGAGTTCGGTTCACCCCCAGATACTATAACACACAACCTGACTCACAGTGTGGAGTCCAGTTCACCCCAGATACTGTAACACACAGCCTGACTCACAGTGTGGAGTCCAGTTCACCCCAGATATTGTAACACACAGCCTGACTTCACAGATAGAATTCAGTTCACCCCCAGATACTGTAACACATAGCCTGACTTCACAGATAGAATTCAGTTCACCCCAGACACTGTAATACACAACCTGACTCACAGATGGAGTTCAGTTCACCCCCAAGACACTGTAACACACAACCTGACTCACAGTGTGGAGTCCAGTTTACCCCCAGATACTGTAACACACAGTCTGACTTCACAGATAGAATTCAGTTCACCCCAGACACTGTAACACACAACCTGACTCACAGTGTGGAGTCCAGTTCACCCCAGATACTGTAACACACAGCCTGACTTCACAGATAGAATTCAGTTCACCCCAGACACTGTAACACACAACCTGACTCACAGATGGAGTTCAGTTCACCCCCAAGACACTGTAACACACAACCTAACTCACAGCGTGGAGTTCAGCTCACCCCAGACACTGTAACACACAACCTAACTCACAGCAGGAGTTGGGTTCTGTCTTTCTCTGTCCCCATTGCATTAGGAGCTTGGTTCCACGTAACAGGTGTTTCGACAACTGCTGTACCGACCACGTTCTCACCTCCTCAAATGCCACCATCCCCCCTGTGTCACCCCTGCATTGCTGTGGTTAGGTTGCACAGTTTAGACACATTTCCTAACAACTGGTTTTGAGGGATAATTTTGAGGAGCTGGTCTCAGTGGGAACCCCTCCTCAGCAGAGCTCCCTTAGGTAACTTGGCTCCTCCTAGATTTAGAGTTGATGCTCTTGCCCTGAGCCCCCACTTGTTTCTGTGATGACATTGCCCTGCTGTGTCTCATTCAAGGTACCACATTTAAAGTTCCGCCTCCTATTTTCCTTTAAGGAAAACCACTACATTGTCTCCATATCATCAAGCCCTACCCTACATAGCGCCTTTCTTCCTTCAGGCCTTTACTTGGTGCATATCTTACTTTTTCCTTCTTAACCCTTAGAAAAACCACTCTTAGAAAAAAGTTCATTTTCAGGGTCAAACACACAGGTAATTGTGGAGGGGGGGGGCGAGAATCGCTGATCTAAAACGCTTGAATGTTCCAGGCATGGGAAATAAATTGACCTCTCCTCAGGTTACTGGCAGGAATACACAGGGAGAAAATCTTACATCTGTTTCCCATTGTACATGCCCAAAGGGCACACCCCAGAGATTGGTCCACAAGCAGGATGAAGGTGCTGAGGCTGCCCACAGCCTGACCTCTGTGGCAGTCCTGGGGAAAGTCTATCCAGGACTTGACTTACCGTTACTATTTCATACCTATTTCGGAGTATGGCTTCTGGAGTTTGATTCAAAGAACTTCCTTCTAACTACTGAAAATAAAAATAGAACAACTAACTCCCTATGAGTCTTCTTCAAGCTCCCCAAACACAAAGATTGTGTCTTCTTCACAGACATAGGAGAAAATATTTTGGAATTGGATAGAACCTTGAAGACATGACACCCTCTGCAAATGACTTACCTACAAAACCTCTTGCCATTTAAAATTTCCATTTGCTCTTTTTAGGTGCGTAAACTAAAGTAAAGCATGTATCAGCCATTGTTGTAACTCTCTAAATCTAGAAAAGTTGGCAACAGTAACCCCCCTGCTCAACTTCCTTACACTGATGTCTCAGGGACACTACACAGCCTAGCAGACAGGGCAGGCTCAGTAAGAAATGCCTTGAACATTCCCCTTGGAAAGGTTCTACAGCCTGGCTCATGTAAGGAAACATTTATTGATGCTATTAAAATGCACAAAGCTTTTAACCAATACATGTTTGGAAGAATGAAGATCAGCAGCAGAAACACTCAGGGCTGTGAGACACCACGCCAGGCTCCAGGCCAGGATCAGAGAGGGTTCGGTCCTTTCCAGCAGGTTGGGCAGGAACTTTCCCATGCAGTGTTTTTTTCAAGAGGACAAGATGAGAAACCAGGAAACCAAAGGCACCGTCTGAAAGCCAGGTTACCAGGAACTGTAGAGTCGGGGTTCTCATGAGAGGGGGGCTGCAGTTAGAAAAACAGCTCGGCACCACCCTCCTGCATGGGGCCCTTGCGTATTGACACACACACACATCCCCAATGGAGTCTTTCAAAAACTGAGCCCTCAAGTGAGACCGGCGGGCCGGAGAGACACTTTGGATGATATCACAAGACTCCCAGAGCGAAGCTTCCTGGCTTCCTCAGCATATGCCAGTGCCCATTTCACAGGGCGGATTTATGATCCTTCTCTCAGCAGAGCCAGCCGAAGTTTTATAATCTTCATTAAAAACCAGCACCACGTGTAATAATACGAAACACTGCCTTACACAAGGGGGCAAGTTATGGGTGCTTAGGGAAACATGGCAGTTTCCTGGCCTTGGCAAGGGGTAAAGTTGCACTAACACAACCTTATTTTACTGCAAATGTACATACAGCCTGCGTCCTAATTACTGTCTTTAAATTTTCAACCGCCACCAAGTCTTCTGCCATCAAACTTAATGGTCAGCAGCACCCTGACGGCGTTCAGAGGGGCAAGCAAGGGACAGCGGCTGCGACCCAGTGAGAACTAAAGCTAAGGATGAAAAGGGGCTCCTTTAGACTAGTCAACAGACAGTGTGTGGGGGTTAGAGGCCCCCTTAAAGGGGTAGGCCTTTAAAGGACCCTCTTGGGTAGGGAGCCTCTCTGTCAAGGCCCACTTCTCGTAAAAGGGGGCCAGCTCAGCTTTCCAGGGGTCCTTTGCTCGTCTTGTCCTGCTCCATCACGGAAACTGCATAGTCAGCACCCGAACTGTTTCTCCCTTTGATGAAGTGCCCATGGCTCTGGCAACCTTCCCACGTGCCACACTGGCCTTCGTCGCTATCGTGACCCCACTAGCCCCACAACCCCTGATTCTCAAAGCCGGAGCAAGGCTAGGCGGAGCAAGGCAGTCTTCCGGGAGGGAAAGACAGGATTCTGAGGCCCGCGCGGCCAGCACAAAGCCGGGAGACCGGCGTCCGCGGCAGCGACAGGCGCGCCCCCCTCCCCGAGCCGGTCGGCGAAGCGCGCGCCCGCTCGCCCGCCCGGGCCCGAGCCCCGGGAGCGCCATTCGCGGAGCGGCTTACGCCAGTCACCCGGCCTACGGCGCCCCAGCGGCCGGGGAGGTGCGCTGCCCGGCTCCCGTAAAGTTATTGTGAATGGGGAGCGGGTGACGTCAGCGCCGAATGTCAACAATGTAGCGATTGAGAGTGTGGGCGTTCCGGGAGAGCGCGAGCCGCGCAGCGCAGCCAGCAGCCCCGCCGCCGCCTCAGCAGCAGCCCTGCGGCCGCGCACCGGGCTGCGGTCGCCCCCCGCGCCCCGCTTCGCCCGCCGCTCCTCCCTCGCGGCCCGCCCCCCCCGTCGCCCCCGCCGCACGCGTCGCTTCCCTCCCCCTTCCCGGACTCGGGGGGCTGCGAGCGAGCTGCCATGTGATGCGCATCCCCTCCGCCTGCTCTCGGTGACCCCAGGACCGCCCACCACGCCGGCGGCCGGGAGGGGGCTGCGGGCTGGGAAGACGCGGGCAAGACCGGCGCTGGAGGACGAAAGTTCCCGGGAAGGTGAGTGCCCAACGGGCCGCGGGCCACGCGACGCAGCGGGGCAAGTTTGCGCGGGGAGCGGGCTCGCGGGGCAGGGGGTGGCTTGGGGCCGCGGCGAACAGCGAGTCCGGAGGGCGGACGGCCGCTCCCCGCCCACGGCCGCCTTATGGCATTTTCTAGGAACGGGAAGGGGGGTGGGAGCCGAGCGGAGGACGCGGCGGCGGGGCGCGCTCTCCCGCCTGCCTGTTTACGGCGGGCGAGGCGGCATTGTATTTTGCTCGCGTCGCCTGGTGTTTTGGAACAGCAGGGGGAGGAGGAGCCCAGGGTAATAAGTCAGTCGCGGGGCGGGAGGGCGGGTGGGGAGAGGAGCGGAGCCCGAGCCGCAGCAGCTGTCAGACCCACGGCCCTGCCTCCGGCCCCAGCCCGCGCTCTGGCCAGCCCGGGTGGCCGGGTCCTTGCCCACCGCACCCGCGCGCGCGCGGCCCTTCCGCGGAGACCGAGGCTCTGCGGCTCCGCGATCAGCTGTCAGCTCCCGCAGGGTGGCTCGGAGGACCGCGCCGGGCGCTAGAACAAGGCAGCCAGGGGTCCCGGGCGCAGACGTGCCCAGTGGAGCTCATGGCTTCCAAGAGGGACACCTTGCGACCCGCATCTTGCCAAGGTCCAACAACACACACCCACACCTGTATTCCAGTCTCCGACCCCAGGGCTCCACCCAAGAGACCAGTTTAAGGAAGGGACAACTCGGCTGCACCTCCCCAAGCCGCGGCCTTCTCTGAGGGTCTCGCGGTTCGCCCAACCGCTGGGTGTTCGGGAGTCTAGCCACACCGAGAGGGCGGCGGGCGGCGCTCATGGACTACCCCAGGTGCCCGCGCGAGGGGACTCGACGAAGCATCTGGGCGACCTCGAGCTGGGCGAGGATTTGCAGGAACTTAGAGGAAACCCGCAGGGTGGCGTTTGTCTGAAGGGTCTCACACCCCTGGCCCCCGGGGTCATGGGCACATAGAGTCTCTCTCGCCTGCGTTTTCTTGCATACATGAAAGTTTGGCAACTTGGACAAAGTTCTTGTAATGCTATGGTACGGGTGGTTTTGTGTGTGACCCAACAAGGTGTTCCTCGCATTCCGCGGGTCCAGCCACTGCTGTTACAGCCTCCGGGAGCAAGAGGGACTGGGGCATCCCACCTACGAGACTCAGCTGTGACTTGCAGCAGGCTCGTGGGCGGCCAGGCGACGTGTTTCTGGATTTTCACCTTCACTGTCTAGTGTCATAGTCTCTTTGTTAATTTCATCTACTGAGTGTATTTAACTAAAAAGGGTAATTACTTCAGATTAAAAAAAAAAACCCTTCCCTGCTTAGTGGGAACCTTGGCGGAGATGCCTAATGAGATTTTCTTTTTTTTTCATTCTTTTTTTTGTCTTTCTTTTTTTTTTTTTTTGCTTTCATCTGTTTAGAGTAAAATTAGAGATGTTAACTCTGATAACCGTTTCCTCAGATCATTAAAATGTAACACATAGGAAATTGTCGCGCCGGCAAAGCTCTGGCTGACTGGAAAAGCTAAGCTTGAACCGCTGTTTGCCACTCCTCCAGTAGTGATGGCTATTTCCTCCAGGCAGCGGGCCACTTGCTTAAAACGTGAGTGAGTGAGGTCATCTCATCCTGGGCCTCCAGCCGCTTACCAGTGGACTGCCCTTTTCATTCTTGAAGGTAATACATGTAGTGGGGGGAGGGGGAGAGAAAGACAGCTTGTTAGAATGAGCCTTGCTAGTTCACAGTGTTGCAGCCAAAATGGTCCAATGAAAGATCTGTCAGTGTCTCTATTGTGATTCAGTTTTCCAGGCGCTCAGAATCATCACAAAACTTTGAATGGCTTCTGGTGTTCTGGTCTTTAAAATTATTCCCCTCTTTGGCTCTATTTGCCATTTCTGAAACCCCCGAGTCATTTCAAATGAAGGCAGGCAGGCAGGTACCAGAAATGAAATATGCAACCACCAAATGAAGTAGTTTGGTTTATATTTACATGTTGGATTTTAGTAGGCTTTCAGGTTTGCCGTGTGGTAATCTAAACGTTTGAGGAAATTCTTCTGATATCTATCTGTCCATTCTGCAAGTGGGTTGACATTTCAGTTCCTAGAGATGTGTTTTCCTCAGGCATGTGAGTCCCTAAGTCCTAGCTGGATGAAAAGCACCCCTGTGCTTTTATTTTCTATTCCTAGTGCTTTGTATGGCTGCATCTCAGAGTCTGCCATGGAGCGGGAGTGAGGCAGCAAGGGATGGAGGGGATGAAATGTCCCCTAATTTACTCTCAGTGCTACCAGCTCCTGGGAGGATGGCCTGGATTCCCTCTCTATTGAATTATGCCCTTTGACTCAGAATCTCCAGGCAATTCCTTTCCAGTCACTCACCTCTGGCTGCTGTGTGAGGGGCTTAATTATTTGCAAACCGCCTCGAAATCCCAGGATGAAAGGCACCGAATAAAGTGCAAAGTATTGTTATTCAGATATGGAATTTAATGATCCATTACAGTTCATCAGGAAAATGCACTTTGCCGTGATGGGAGGAAATGTTTCCACCTGATAGAGGGTAATAATAAGTGCTTAAAAGTAGGTTCAGATTACAGATGAGACAATTAACTCCAGCCATGTGCTCTTCAATTTTGTTGCAATTCATTTTGTGATCAAAGTGAGTTACAGAGAGCCAGATGGTCAGGTTCATGTTCAAATCTCTCTCAAGCCAGCCCCGCACTTCTGTGCCCACAGTCAGCATAGCCGAAGGGACTTAGTAATTCATTAGTGATTGTGAGCTATTCCTCAGAGCTTGTAATCGAGGCTCTTCTGTGATGCCAGCAGAAGGACCCGAGACAATCAGTTTTGTTGGGAGCTGTTTAGTTTTACTTGGATTAGCTCTTGCTTAGCTCCTCTGGTATGGATCCAGTCTTCACAAGGGGGAAGGAGACCCTGGATCTCTCAAGCCTTGCTATGGAGGTACATTGCTCTGGATTTTAAGCCTCAGGTTTCAGGGGAGTAGTATCTGGTTCGCTTCAGATGCTGGCCCGACTGTTGAATGAATGAGGCAGTGCTTAGGTGAATTAGCACCTTGTAGTTCCTCTGGGAGAGTGTGTGTGTGGGCGGCGGGGGGGGGGGGGGGGGGGGGGGGAGGTGTATAGGAATAGGGTTGGTGAGGGCGGGTCAAGAGCAGGGGCAGCCTCAGAGGCAAGGACCAGTGTCTGCACACTGCTCTACCCCCTTGGGCTCAGAAGGCTCTCAAGCCTGCTTTAACACTATGTCTTATCATCTCAGAATCTTAAGTCATAGACAAAGGGATCTCATTCCGTTTTCCACAGTACCTCATATATACCTCAGACGGTGTATATGGTCCAGGTGAGGAGAGGCCAGAGAGGCGCGCAGGGCAGCCGCATCTTTCTCAGCCCTTGTCTGCTGTTGCCAGGCAGGATGAGTAGAAATGCTGGCTCTGGGCTGCCAGGTCCCTTGCGTCTTCCAGATTGTTATGTGGAATCCTCTATCCTAAAGTGTTGTTGAGGATGTCTTTAAAAACGGGGGCTGGGTCAGAGAGATAGTGCGGTGGATAAAGGCGTTAGGCCGCCAAGTTTGACTAGCCTGAGAACGAGTTTGGAGGAAAGCAATTTCAGAAAGTTGTACTCTGTTCGTGTGTGTGTGTGTGTGTGTGTGTGTGCGTGTGTGTGCGTGTGTGTGTGCGTGTGTGTGTGTAGTAAATAAATAAATAAGGTCATTTTTAAAAGCTCAGACCGTCCTGCGGGTGGCCTATTTTCTACCACCGAGTATACTAAAACATCTTATTAAGACTTTCACATTTAACCAATCCCTAAAGTCTGTCCCGTGGTAGGTAATTTGCTCATGTGTACCAAAAAAGTAGTGATAGAGTGATCAGGAAAACAGAAAGGCTTGAGAAAAATGGAAGTCTAAATCAACTCTGGATCTCATTATGTGATTTGCCACCTTCCTTTTTTAATGGAAAAGTCAATCTGAAATACTGCGTGCACAGTGTTACCCTCCAGGTGGGTAACCCATTGTTTGGGGACTGCTCAGACTCTTCCACTTGTTGATGAGTGTAGCGGAGTGACTCATTTACTGTCCAGAGACTTCCATATACGTTTGGCATTTGAGAACATGATTAAAACACTGGGTTTGATTTATTAATTGTTCATGTCATAGTACTTAGTACTATGTACATAGATAGTACTTAGTACATAGATAGTACTTCTCCTGCTCATGTCTCAGTGACTCCTAGAACAATCTATGAAGTAAGCATTGTGCCGGCTCTTTCCAATTGGCAAGCTCCAATCGGAACTTTATCTTGAGTGTCTGCCCATGGGCTACACAGTGAATACAGCCCAACACAAAACTGTAAATTGGCTTAAAACCTTAGGAGCATTTTTTATTTTAAAATCTCCACTGGGAGGTCCTCAACAGTGAATAGTGTCAATGTTGGAATGTCAGAAAGTGGTTGGACTTCCTTGAGGGTTGTTTTCCCACCTGAAATACAGAGTCCGGCCCCAAGTCAGTGACGAGATTGCAGTGTGGTAAGATGTGGGAGAGAATGCAACCTCACTCCTCAGATACACAGAGCAGTGAGCAGTACAGATGGACGGTGTTTGTCCATGTGTGCTGTTCAGGCACCAAAACCTCCTCTGCGCCTCCCAGTCTGGTTATTGTAGAAGCTGCAGTGACATCAGGGCCTAGCACAGGCACTCAGAGTTCAGGAGTCAGGCTGATGCCAATCCCTGGAATGTCTGTGAGGGGCTTCTGGCAGAACTGTGGCTGCATTAGGATAAGCAGCACCAAGCATGGTACTGAGAGAGAAAATTCTGTCTAGCCAGTGACAATACACCACAGTATACTTAATACCTATTAGATCTCTATGGGAATATTTACAAATTGGACACAACGTGGAGTAAACGTTTTGTAAATTCAGTAAAGTTGCTCAAAATAATTAAACTCATTTTCTTTTTTCTGTTTGGTTTGGTCTAAGAAATACTTAACAGAA